CTGTGGGAGGAATATTATAAACAACAGGAAATAGAAAATCGGTCCATTGTTCAATAAAAGTGAATTATGTTATCAGTCAATAAAAGGCTTTGGAAGCACATTCATGTTTCAGGGGAAATGGAAAGCAGATAGATTTCCTTTGTGTGACTGGAAAAAGAAACTGGCCTCATGGAACATTTTTAAATTATTACATTATATTGTATATTTGATTCCCTTTTCCTGTTTTAAATCCGGCTCATAAAGGCAGGCAGTTATGTGCTTTGTGTACAAAGAAAAGTGAAACCAGAGACTCTCGAGCTTTCCGAGTTATCTTGTCTTTTTTATTTCAAGAGTTCTCACTTGACTTGTTTTGAGGTGTTTGCTAAAGGTCTGACTGATCTGGCAACAATTCTCTGCCGTGAGTTTCTCCGTGTCTGCTCAGATCACAGTTTTTCACTGGGGTCATGAACTCTGAGTAACACATCAGGATCGACAATGTAAAAATGCTAAAAGCTTCAAACATTTCTGTCAATACAGCAGATACAGGAGAAGACGGTAGATACGGGAACTACGCTACATAACTTTATTTCCATCGTTAATTTGTATTTATTTGACTTTATATCTTCAGCGAGACACTCCATTAAGCTATGGCACGATGGAATGAAACTACCTTTTTCAATTGTGCGATTACCATTAAAAAAATAACTGGTAAATCTAACATTGGTATTAGCTCACCGAGAAAAGCATTATAGCCATTTTTGATGCCTTCGCTTTGCTGATATAAAATGTCTTGAAACGCTAACCGTAGCATATGACTGAATTCTTGAGCGTCTCTCCCACCCCCGTCCTGGAGCGTCTGTTTGTTTTGCCTGTGGGTGGCGTCCGGCGGTCCTATCAGCAAACACATTGATTGTGTTAGTGTGTGCAGAGCTGCTGGAGAGGAGAAGTCGAACAGCTCTGGTGTAACTGATGACAGCTCAGTTCATCTGCAAAACAGACCTCCTCCTGACAGACGAATCTACGCCTATCTTTCTGTGGTTTATCATCATATTTATCCGATTATCTCAAGGTGGACTGATTAAAAAGCAAACCTGCGTCATTCTGAAATGCATAGATTGTGACGGAGCTTTCACAATCTGGAGGTTAAATAGACTGTTTGCTATCACTCATTTTCTATTTAGTCTTCGTCCTGTGTCCTTGTTAGTTTTTATCATGTTTATTCAACCTCATCCATATGTTCCTTTTGCCAAAGTGCAGTTGGACAAAAGTCAGAGCATTTTGAGTGTTATCTTCAAAGTCAACCCTAAATATGTTACCATCCTAGGTAGAGATGTCCCGATCCGATCACGTGATCGGGGATCGGAGCCGATCACGTGATTTTCAAAAGATCGGAATCGGGAGAAAAAAAATCGGGGATCGGGATTTTTATTTTTTTTAATAAATTTTTTTAAATTTTGTATTCAATGTTACAAAACAAAAATGACCATGTTCAAGTCTTAAAGTCATCCTGAGGCCTTAGTTTTGGTTTCATCATGTATGTGTTGCTTCTTTGGGGCTTGTTTTCATAGACCTGGTTGCTTATTTCTCTCAAATCTGGCAACAGAGTGGGCAGCAGTGTCTAATTGTAGCAGTAAGCTAACGAGTACTGAAAGCTTTATTTTGTTTTGATCCAATGCTGCACAACTGAACTGATCCAATGCTGCTGTGAAAGAAAGAAGCTATATCCATGTTGGATAGAATATCCAATTTAAATAAAAAATAACCTTAAGGGACAACTTGAATGCTTTTTTTTCTCTTAATGCATTGCATAAAGATCGGATTGGGAAAAATCGGTATCGGCAAATTGTCAATCAAATGATTGGAATCGGATCGGGAGTAAAAAAAGTTGATCGGGACATCCCTAATCCTAGGTAGTTTATTTAGGTTATGAAGGTCTTTTTTTAGTCATCAGATTATGTTTTCTTTAAATACAGTTAAGTAACCAGTTAGGTGCCTTGTGTACCAAGAAAAGTTGAATTTGAAAATACTGCATATAGTATTCAAGCACTAGAGATCCATCTTTTCCTATTTTTCAAGACTTGAATTGTGGTTGATTAACCTATGTATAAAATGTCCAAAGCGAGTGAAAAATGTTCAACTGACATCGCAAGTTGACGCCTATTGTGACTGAAAACCCAAATGTATTCACCCTAATTTGATTCAAACCAGGACATCTTCAAATCTGAGAGGCTAAAAACTGATCATCTAATTGACTATTGAATGAATCATTGGCGTTTTGTGAATGTCTGTCTGTGCTGTGTTACCGACTAAGAAGCACAGTGTTCATAGCGAAGCCTCTCGAGTAATGTGCTGACAGCAGAGTTCTACACATCAGTGTGTTGTGAGAGCAGCCTGTGATTACCCAAGCACAGAGATGCCTCCAATTTAGCCTCGCAGGAAAGACTCCCTTCCTGAGGCTATTGTTCAGCTCCAGAAAGATAACACATTTATCATGTACACCGTCCTCACTTCTATGAAGGGAATTAGTCCGGTGATGCTGAAAAATGCTGCGTTGTCCGGCAAAAAGTTTGAACCAGGCTCAACTTTTACAAACATTGTTATAACTGGCCAACCACTTACTGCACAAGAACACATTCCTGGTGGATTACTTGGTGTCGTCAGATTTTAAGGTTAAATTATAACCGTTTTGATCACTTTCCAGAGAATAACCATGTCTCGTAGTTTCATAAACCTCTGTGAAGTTATTTGGCGTTTTACAACCGTCATAGATCCATTTCTTAAACTTGACTTCCCAGTTTTCATTTGATATCTCAACAGGGCCTGATGAAGCTAACCCTTCAGCGTTGTTAGGCTTGTTTTCTGTCTGAACAGCCACTTAGTAAAATGGTTAGGTGCAGGCTTTCTCGATTCTTTCTGCTGTTAGGATTGTGTGGAGCAAGATGTTCCAGACACTGCACTTTGCCTGTGGCCTTCAGTCTTTGATAAGCACATTATTGTTTAACTGATTACTGCTATTAGCAATGTGGCTACCATCGAATTGGAAACTACAAGTTGTAGACTAAAGTGGGGTTTCTGTTTGCTGCAGGTTAAAGGTTTTGCTGAAATGTCCAAATGATAATCTTTACTAAATCTTTGGGTTAGACTTTGACTGGAATCCTTTGAAAGCAACTGTTGTTTTTTCAACCGCGATTGGGTTTGTTGGTTTGTTTGTCGAGATTACGGAGAGACTTTTGGCCAGATTTCCATGAAACTTGGTTTAAGGGTGTATCGTTGGCCAAGGAAGAAGCCATAACATTTTGTGGCGGATACGGGCTGGACTTGGCAATCTGAGTATCCATCTAGTTGGGAATCAATCTGGTCCCATCATGATTTACTGTTTACTCTGAATATCTTTGAGTTCTGGCTCCACGGGGAGGAAACGACCAGACGTATGAAGAGGATACCCTGTGTTTTGGGTAATTGCGATGGGCATAGCATCGTATACACTATATAATTAACCAAAAAAGGTTGATTGTTCGCTGACAGATGAATTGATGGAGGAAATAATGAGTAGTTGCAGCAGCCAGATGTATTCTTCTCTTGTGAAACTCTGACTTGATGAAACGGCTCCTCTCGCCACACTTTGTGGTATGTTGGGAGTTTTTCATGCGCCGGGACGGTTTATATATTAATGAATAGCTGCCGCTCTGTTTGCTCAGCCTTGGTTCAGGACTCGGTCATGTGTATGATGGGACAAAATGCTAAGCAGCTTCATGCTGATTAACCACCGTGGTTGGATTGTTATGTTTCACATTACTATCAGCCGTTCTTATCTGAATGCCTGACTGAAACCGGTTCAGTCTACATAACTGTGATTGTTCGTTCCTGTGAGAGTGTTAAACAGTAGCTCTGAACCCTTTTTAAAAAAAATGTGAGCAGTTTCATGCTGTCATCAGGAAATGCTTTTGGGTACAGAGATGAAATGGCGCAGGGGTTTGTCGGATTTTCCATTCCAGCTGGCTCACATTTCACCCTTCCAGATTTTCCCCTCAGAAGCTCAGTTTCCATCGTAAGAATCGGATCCCTTTTTCCAATGCCTGCTTTTTCCCCCCTTTTTTTTCCTGAGAGCTTTTTGGCAATCTTCCTCGATAATAACTGCCGGGAGTCGTGAAGAGAGAATTACTCCCCCTCTCTAATCATTCCAGCTCTTCGGCTCCTCAATGGGGTTCCTCTCTGATATTATGAGTAGTGGAGAAGATGTAACCTTTAACTGTAACCTTTCACTCGGGCACAACATCCTGTTTGGCTTTTAACAAGAGCTGGGAGGGGGAGAGAGAGGATATGAAAAAAATTCATATTTGTGTTTTCATTTCATGACGGCATGATACATTTCTGACTGTGCAATGCACTCAATGTTATCGGTCATATAACTAACTAAAACTTTGCCAATAGGTTATTCCTTTGAGTAATTGTCAATGCAAAAATGAGGAAGAGCTTTTTGAACATTAAAGCATGGAGACATGTCACAGTAGAGACACTAAATACAAATATGAACCTGAATGAGCACAATACAATATGTCCTCTCTAATAATGTAGAAAACTATGTGATCTGCAGGTGACAGCTGACATTTGCAGGGGGGTAAATATTTCTGTGGTATGATAAGATAAGATAAGACTTTATTTATCCCGAAGGAAATTAAACACAATAAACACAGCAGCAAAAAGAGCAATTAAACATCCACAGACAACATGAAACGTAGAAACATAGAAAGTCACACAATCAATGCAATTATTATTATTAGTAGTTATAGTGCAAAAATTAAAACGTAGTGGCAGTTACGTAATTGCACGTTATCATAGCATTATTAATAATACTAACAATAATAATATAATATAATATTGCACAGTTATATATATATATATAGCAGCGAGTGTATTGCAGTGATGGAACTTACAGTATATTGCACATAGTGTTGGTGTGGGAGTTCTCAGTGCCCTTTACTTAGGGGTGAAGAGTTAAAGAGTTTGATTGCCACTGGGAGGAAAGACCTCCTGTGGCGCTGTGTGGTGGTTATGGGTGATCTCAGTCTGTGGCTGAAAGTGCTCCGGTAGGAAACCAGTGTGGCATGCAGGGGGTGATAACTGCATAGCAAGACAGAACAAGAAAAGTCAGGTGTACATATGGACATGGAAACATGGGCTGGATACATGCTGTGGTTTTTTCAGACATTTCATAGATTGAATGATTAATCAGTTTGAAAAGGCAACATCATCTGCAGATCAGTAACTAGTTGATTCAGGACACAGGGAATAGTTTGAAAATGAGAAATTACGTGTTTTGGAGTAATCACATCACTAAGAAACAAATACTATAGAAGAATTAAAGCTGCATACGAATCAAAATGTCAGTATGGTCAAGTCGAATGGTCAAATCACAGGAAGCACACTGTTTGTTAAAAGCTAAATGTGTGTTGAAAGACTTTTTGAATGAAGCATTGTGGAGACATCCCGGTGTACAAATGGTATTTTCCGGACTAAACTAAACATATTTATTTTTTATTTACAAAACATCCAACTATAAACTGATGAGTCCCTCAATCATATCTCAATTGAGATATCAGTCAAAATATTCGCCATTAGTTATTCTTTCCAAATTCAAGAGTAAAAAATGCATTCAGTGTTTTCACGGTGAAATAGTGGCGGGTCAATGAAACCTGAGATGGACACAGATGGTTTTTATCTCTGGGATTCTTCTCCGAGTGTAAGCTGAGTGGACTCTGCGCCCGGCTGTGGATGAGCAGTCAGTAGGATGTTTACTCGGTGTCAGCCAACACTTAAACTCTGTTTAGAGATGGGAGGAGGATTACTGTACGGATTGAATCTCTCTCATTACAACACTTTGTCCGTCTAGTGTGGAGGAACTGAGGGTGTGATTAAGGGTTTGGTACACCTGAAACAGTATTTAGTCAAATGTGTACTTCAATAACATCTAAATTCAAAGTATTTACCTGTTCTCCCTGATATCTCTCTCTGAGCTCTGTGTTGCGTACTGTAAATAACTATGGGCACTTCCAGACTGTTTCTCTTCGAAGGCAGGGTGGTGAAGAATGACTATTAAGAGCTTCAGTTAAAGGTTAAAAACCGGTCCCTCCAATTGTGGAAACGGTCAAAAAGAAAACAAGATGAGAAAAGAGTAGTTCATTCTTTGTTTCTGCTCACACATCACTGAAAGCTAAATACCATTTACACTCAAGTAAATTCTGTCATTACTTGTTTTTTATGCATGTTTCTTGTCTTAGTTTGAAAGAGACTTCTAATGAGCTCAAATCAAGTCCATTTATATTCCATGATAGTTGGAAAGTCTGAGTGTTGTTATTATGATGTGTTTTGTGTGAACCAGTCAGTGTAGGGGACTTTTTCTCATGTTCATGAAGGATCCCATTGTTACTGTGTGTCAGTGTATGCAACACCTGTGTGGATCCAAGCATCTCATATTACAACTTATTACATAACCTATCGAGTGGTTTGACTTATTTCTACTCCCTATCACCTTTACGTGATTATTTACTACTCAACTGACTAGTGAAAGTACATTTCTATCAGACCTACAGTCTCTTTCACTGCAGCAGGTTTAACACGATGCTTTTTCTCTCAGATTGCTCAGAAATATGACACACAAAAGGAAGAGGATCTCAGATTTTGGATTGAGGAGAGAACACAAATGCCCATTGGAGAGAACTTCACGAAAGGCTTGAAGGACGGAGTCATCCTCTGCAAGTAAGTATCCCACAGAAACATGGCACGGCAGATCAAAGAGATGTCCTCTGGGGTTTTCCGTCTGATTCATGTTGTGCTTTCCTTTCTCTTAAGTCTGATTAATAACCTGCAACCTGAGTCAGTGAGGAAAATCAACCACTCACAGCTGAACTGGCACAAGGTAAGACACTCATGAGTTGCAGCTCAGACTCATTCATGAAGCTTTCTCTGCTTTATTTGTGCTGTTGTTGCTTCCTCCTGCTTTTGTTGGACACCCAGCCCCCATCATTTCCTCTTTTTTTCTTTTTTCCATTGCAGCTGGAAAACCTTGGGAATTTCATCAAAGCCATCCTGGCCTACGGCCTAAAGCCCAATGACATCTTTGAGGCCAATGACCTGTTTGAAAGTGGGAACATGACTCAAGTCCAGACCACACTGCTCGCGCTGGCCAGCATGGTGAGGACAGGGGGGCATTGTCCGCTGAGGAACACATTTTCTATTGTTGCAGGAAATACATCTAATGTCATGTCGGGGCTTTGATGAGCATGTTCTCTCTTCCAGTCAAAGACCAGAGGTTCGGACACAAAGATTGATATCGGAGTGAAATACGCAGACAAACAGACCCGACATTTTGATGACGAGAAGATCAAGGCCGGTCAGTGCGTCATCGGACTGCAGGTAACTATCACTGAAGATAAGGGGATTCTTATGACAACTCATGAACTGGATGTAACTGAGAGCTTGTGTTTAGTTTAAATATAACCGCTGTAGTTCCAGAGAAATAAACAGAGGCGGCCTTTTCCCTAGAGAGTCTTATTTCTACTGCGGTGACGCAACCATTGGAATCTAAGTTAAAGCATTAAAATAAATAACAGGTTGTGTAATGAGGTAAATGTAAGGAAAACAACAAGGCTGATGTATAATTGGATTTCCTATCTTCCTTCGTCCTCAGATGGGGACAAACAAGTGTGCGAGTCAGGCGGGGATGACTGCGTACGGCACCAGGAGACATCTGTATGATCCAAAGACCCAGACGGACAAACCCTTTGATCAGACCACCATCAGCCTGCAAATGGGAACCAACAAAGGAGCCAGCCAGGTTGAAACCCACTCCTCTTTTTATGCTTCTCTTATTAGATCTTTTTATTTCCAACAGATCCCGAGAGGAGACTTAAACGCTTAAATACTAGAAGGGCACAAAGTGAGCAGACCCTGCCAAGGCTGTTCCCATAAGTGAAAAATAATGTGTAAATCCACCCAGGAGTCAGATCAGCTTAAAAGTTTAATGTGTTTTTGGCATAACAGCCAAAGTTGACACGGGTAATATCACTTACAGTACAAAAAACCCGAACTATCCCTTTTAAACAGATGTACTTCCTGGATCTTGTCCAATTAGAACAGAGTGTTTAGCAGAGATGGGAAGTAGTGGAGTACAAATACTTTGTTACTCTACTTAAGTACATTTTTCTGGTATCAGTACTTTACTCCACTACTTATTTTTCTGACGACTTTTTACTTTTACTTCTTACATTTTGAACACAAATACCTGTACTTTCTACTTCTTACATTTTGAACCCAAATACCTGTACTTTCTACTTCTTACATGTTGAACTCAAATACCTGTACTTTCTACTTCTTACATGTTGAACTCAAATACCTGTACTTTCTACTTCTTACATGTTGAACTCAAATACCTGTACTTTCTACTTCTTACATGTTGAACACAAATACCTGTACTTTCTACTTCTTACATTTTCCAAACAGGCTGGTTCCTTTAGTCTGAATGTGTGTTTGGTGGCGTGATCATTATTATTTAGAGTCATTGCGTGCCTATTGATTTGAACACGATCCGTGTATCCATCATTTCCCAGTCTTCTCTAAATAAGAGGGACCAATGAAAACGTTGCCGTTGTTCAGCATGGAAACATTCATTAGCTAACAATGACATTATTGTTCTATTAATATAAAGGGAGGTCAGGTACTCTTTAAAACAGCTGCTAGTTATGGGTACTTTTTACTGAAGTACATTTCAAAGCCCATACTTCTTTACTTCTACTTGAGTAAAGAAGTTTAGTCAGTACTTTAAACACGAGTATCTGTACTTCCACTTGAGTAAAGGATGTGTGTACTTTTGCCATCTCTGGCGTTGAGTACCAGTGTATGATTTCCACCTCCATCATGTTAACTTTCCGCTTCCCCCCCCCTCAGGCGGGCATGTCGGCCCCCGGGACCCGCAGAGACATCTACGACCAGAAGACGGCGCAGCAGCCGATGGACAACTCCACCATCTCCCTGCAGATGGGCACCAACAAGGTGGCGTCCCAGAGAGGTATGAGTGTGTATGGTCTGGGCAGACAGGTGTACGACCCCAAGTACTGCGCCCCCCCCACAGAGCCCGTGATCCACGCCAACGGCAGCCAGGGCACCGGCACCAACGGCTCGGAGATCAGCGACAGTGACTATCAGGCAGAGTTCCCAGAGGAGGAGTACCAGGGAGCGTACCAGGACGAATACAGCCCCCACTACACCGACCAGGGCATTGACTATTAGAGGAGACCCCCACCTCCACATCAGTATTACCTAGTGTATTTTATAAACCACACAACAGAGCAAGTCTTTTGCTATCCTCACTATGTTTTTTTCCTTCTTCTCGGAGCATACAATGAAATGTTGCTTTCCTTCTTCACCTTTTTTTTTTAAGGCTGTGAGAAGCTGTAGTGGCATATATTCATGAGACAAGAATGATGATGATGATGATGTTTTAAGCTTAAGAGCATTCACTTTTTTTAAAAGATGTTTAAATGATGGAGGTAGTGATAACGTTGTGGGCTGGCGGTGTAGCATCAGGTGAAGCTGCTGCATTCAGTGTGTGTTCCTGGACTGAAACTGGGCTAATGATCCACGTGAGAGGAACGATATGATTTATCTCCATCTTATCCAGCCTCTGTCCAGTCAGACTGGAATTCCTTCTTTTATGTTTTACTTCATGTAATCACTAGATAGTGTTTCCTTCTTTTAATGACGGTTCAGACCACCAAACCCAAGCTGACTTTTACTCTACAGACGTACTTCCTTGTTCCATTAAATGACCTATATTTTCATATTATTCCTCTTTGTATTCTCAAACTGTATTTATTGCAATGTCTCTCATTGTAAAGCAGTCCACTGTTATATGGTTTGTAAAGAAAATGGTATGTTATGAATAAAGCCTTACATTCTTCAATTCTGGGACCCTGTCTGCACACTATTGTTACAGAAATCACAACCTGCTACATTCATTTCTTTAACTTCAAAGTG